CCTCCTCTCTTCTCTCCTCCCCGTCACACTCGATTTAGGCAGGAGTTTATCTTGCGAACATTTGCCGACTTTGTTTATGTAGCCCAGGTTCCCGTTCCCAAAAGCCACTGTTTGCCTTTGTAATTGTTATCTGTGTTTATTGTTGTACCTCATTTGTCTCAGCTTTTTTTGTGACATGTAAGCTCCGTGTGCGCCCGCATCCAGTCCCCCTCCTCCCTCTCCCTTCTCCCTGCGTTTTTTTTTTATTCCTCTTCCCCTCTCTTCCCTCTCCTCTCGGCCTGAAATATGCACAGAATAACTCAGCCTAAAGCCAATGAATTGCTTGACACCTCCCTATCTCTTCTCCTGCCCCCCATTATTAGAGCTGATCCCGCTCGCAACACTCACAAATCCCGCCTGGGCTCTGTTTGATTAGATTGCCAACCTTTGGTAATCCCTTGATTTGATGAAGTGTCTGCTCGCGGCCCCCCCCGCGCTTCTAAACACACATTTACCGAGGAGCCGCGTGTTGGTTTTTAAACCCGCGCCGATTGTTCGCCGATAAATCGGCCCCGCAGCCCCGCTCCCCTCTCCCGGCTGGGGAACAAAGCCCCGGCCCAGCTCTGGGGGTCACCCCGTCCCTTTCTGCTCCTCCCGAGCTCCCTCAAATCGGGCGGGACCCCCCAAACCCCCCCGCTCACTGCGGCCCCCCAAAAACCCGGCGGGAGCGGCGCTGGCAGCTCCCGGCTGGAATTGTCCCTGTCCCCCCTCCCGCACTGTCCCCAGCCCCGGGGAGCCCCGATCCCACCGCTGCTCCCCCAAAATCAGAACCTCGATTCCGCTGCTCCCCCAAAATCACAACCTCGATTCCGCTGCTCCCCCAAAATCAGAACCTCGATTCCGCTGTTCCCCCAAAATCAGAACCTCGATTCCGCTGTTCCCCCAAAATTGGAGCCCCGATCCCGCCTTCCCCCCACAATCGGAACCCCTGTCCCGCCCCTCTCCCGCTGTTCCCCCAAAATCGGCCGAGGGCACAAACTTGGGGGGCACAGAACGAAGGGGAGGGAAAGATTCCCTAAAAATCCGCATTTTCACCCCAAAACCAACACCCGGGTGTCTCTGGGAGCATCCCTCGCACCCCGCGGGGCTCCGGGGGGGGCAGCGCCGCCAGGCCCCGCTGCCGCCCGGGGGGACACGCCGGGGATGGGGGGACAGGCCCAGGGTGGGGGCGACACACCAGACACCCCTCCGGGTCTGATCTCAATTAATTCCCTCCCGAGAGGCGCCCCCCGAAATTTGGGGGTGCCCAAATTCCCCCCTCTGCCCCCCCCAGCGAGGGAGAGAGCGGCACATTCTCCTCCCTAATAAATAACAGCAACCCCAAATAATAATTATAATTATAATCATAATAAATAGTAACAACAACAACTCGCTCTTAACAAGGAGATATATATATATATATATATATATATATATATATAAAATAAACATATATTAAAAAAATAAAAAAACCCAAAGTGAATCCTCATGAATATCCGCCCAGGGCTAGCTGGAGTGAGCCGTTTAAAGATGAAAGTGCAAAGAAATAAAGGCTCAATTTAATCTGCCTTAAAACCCTTCAACTTAACGTTTGTGCTGGGAACTCAGAGAGTGAGTACTGATTGGGGATAAATACATTTCTTAGCATGCCTTGGAGCTATTACACCCTTCTCCAACACAGCTCCCTATTCAACAGCCACAGTTTTCATTACCAGCTCTAATAAGTCTTAACATTATTAAATGCCAAGCAGACGATAGAAAGAAACAGGCGCAGGGTGGAAGCTTTCTTTCCCACTTAAAAAGAGAGAGCATTTAGGGCTGTCTTCCCCCGGCTCCCCGCGAGGAGAACCCGCCACGGAGCGCTTGGCAGCGGCGGAAAAAAAATAAAAAGATTAAAAATAATAATAATAAAAAAAAAAGCAAAACCAAAGTTTTTCGCCCCGTTCCCCCGCAGCTCTCGGAGGGAGAAGTCGCGTTGGGCGCAGAAATTGAGAAAAAATTCCCCCCCCCCGCCCTCCCTCAAGCCGTGCGAGGTTGGGATGGTTTCAGTGGGAGCCACCTGGAAATGAGAATTGGGTGGAGGGAGAAACAGCTCTGAGGTTTTAATTGCGGGATGTAAAATCGCCGTGTTTTCCGGCAAAACTGCGGGTTTTTCATGCAGAAACTGCGGGTTTTTTCGAGCAGAAATGCGGTTTTTTCCCCAGCAGAAATCGCGGCGTTTCCCAGCGCGCAGCCGCCGCCCGCCAGTGCTTTACAAGCGGGCTCATCAATTATCTTAATTGGGGCCATTAAAACTTTCCCAGGCGTTAAAATCCGCCGGGGCAGCGGTAAATTCGGAATTTCGGACGCTCCTTTTGGAGATGCGCATCACCCAAAAAAAGCCCCGAATTCACGCGGTTTTTAGGGGGGATTACTCCTCGGCGTGAGGATAAAAACCCGGGAATTGCGGAGAAATTGGGATTTCTCCGCGGGGCCGGGGCATTCTGCGCGCTCGGAGGGAGCGCGGCGCTCCACAGGCTCCGGCCGCGGGAATTTGCCCAAATTAGCCCCCTTTCATCCAGGAACGGGGGCTCGTGTTTGATTTGTCCGCGGCCTCACCCATGAAGGCAGAAGGGAGCGTTTTGTTTTGCCTCTTGACACGCACTTCTTGCGTGCTAATCAGGGATAAAAAGCTCCCGGCTCCTTCATTCTTATTTTTTTAAATTTTCTTTTTTTTTTCCCCATTTGCTCTTTTGGGGGTGGCGATGGGGAAACCACGAGGACGGGGGAAAACAAACTCAACCCGCGCTTTCAAAAATAAAGATATTTTTCCCGAGAGGCGAGCCTGGCTGAAAACACAACTTAACCCCCCCCCAAATCTCCTTTTCCCCCCTCTTAACAAAATTAAAAACACTCCGAAAGTGAGCGGGGGGAGCTTCTGGCGGACACAATGGCCCCGATTTGCAAATGAGCATCGCCCCTCTCCCAAATCACAGCAACATTTTGCAGCGTCCAACGGCTCTGCCTTTCTGCAGCAGCCGCTCCGATAATATTACAAAACTATCTAACAGCAGGGAGTTTTGAATAATTTATCTCCCTTTCTTCCCGTCCTCGGCCCTTTGTCCAAAAGTTTTTCTCCTCCTCGCGGAATTTTGAATGAGAATGGACGCGCCCTCCCTCCCCCATCCCTTTACTCCATTTTTGAGGCAGCCTCGGGTTTTTCCCCCTTTTCCCCCCCTTTCTTCTTTTTTTTTTTTTTTTTTTTTTTTTTTTTTTTTTTTTTTTTTTTTTTTTTTCCCCCCGTGCTCTTTTGGGGGTGGCGATGGGGAAACCACGAGGACGGGGGAAAACAAACTCAACCCGCGCTTTCAAAAATAAAGATATTTTTCCCGAGAGGCGAGCCTGGCTGAAAACACAACTTAACCCCCCCCCAAATCTCCTTTTCCCCCCTCTTAACAAAATTAAAAACACTCCGAAAGTGAGCGGGGGGAGCTTCTGGCGGACACAATGGCCCCGATTTGCAAATGAGCATCGCCCCTCTCCCAAATCACAGCAACATTTTGCAGCGTCCAACGGCTCTGCCTTTCTGCAGCAGCCGCTCCGATAATATTACAAAACTATCTAACAGCAGGGAGTTTTGAATAATTTATCTCCCTTTCTTCCCGTCCTCGGCCCTTTGTCCAAAAGTTTTTCTCCTCCTCGCGGAATTTTGAATGAGAATGGACGCGCCCTCCCTCCCCCATCCCTTTACTCCATTTTTGAGGCAGCCTCGGGTTTTTCCCCCTTTTCCCCCCCTTTCTTCTTTTTTTTTTTTTTTTTTTTTTTTTTTTTTTTTTTTTTTTTTTTTTTTTTCCTCCGCTGTTTGCTTTTGTGGTCAGGAATCTTTTCCTTATAAAGCTTCAATAGACCCCAAGGTCTTTGTAAGTGAAGTTCATCTTCAAGGTTGGGAAAAGAGAGGGTGGAAAAAAAAAAGGATCGGATCCTTTAAAAAAAAAATAAAATCCCTTTTGTCACCTTCATTTCCAACTCCCGTGATGGGGGCTCAGGGGAACATTTTCTGCCCCAAAATCTCTCCCACGTGTCCCAAACTGGGGAAATTCGGGACTGGGGGAGAATCCCGCTCACCCCGAGAGCGGCGATGCCACAAATCCCCCAAAATCCCAGCTCCGGCTCAAGCCCAGCCCGTGCTCGCTTGACACCAATTCGGGAGAAAAACGAAAAATCCCAACTCCCCTCTGCTCGGGACTCCCAAAATCACCGTTTCCCCCCAAAAAAGGCGCTCGTTTTGTGCCCGAACCGAGCTGCTCCAACTCCCCGATTTCCCTGACCGATCTCACGGACGCTCCCCCAAAATTCCACCTTTTCTTTGGATTGTTAGAACCACGGCGCTGCCCGCGCTCCTGTTCCCACCCCCAACCCCGCATTCCCAGCTGGGAAAAGTTGGAATTTTCCTGCCAGCGGGAGAAAACGCCGCGCTCGGGAGGTGATAACAGAGCCCCGCCACCGGCCTGGCTCGGAGCCTTCCCCCGCCTGCGCCGGGAGGATTTTCCCTGGATCGTTTTCCCTGGATCGTTTCCCCTGGATCATTTCCTCTGGATGGTTTTCCCTGGGTAATTTTTCCCAGGATAATTGGGGGGTGCGGCGCCGCTCCGGGGACCCCCCCGTGTCCCCTCGGAGCTCGCGGCTCCCGTCCCTAATTGATATTGATCGGCGCCATCGGTCACCTGTCAGCCCCGGTTCCAGGGGACCACTTAGGCGAAATCTGTTTAACAAATTCATTTACGGCCTCCGAGGTGCCTCTTCCCTCCCTCCGGCCATTCCCGGCCCTTTTTATGGATAATTGATCCCGAGCAAAGCACCGACAGCTCTTCCTCCTCCTGGCAGCCCCGCTCCCTGCAGGGATTTTTTGGGAAGAGCCCAACTCGGCGGCTCTGGAGCCGCCCCCGGCGGGCAGGGTCGTGTCCCCGGTGTCCCCCCCGGCGCGGCGCGGGGACGCGCGGTACCTTTGTCGCCCAGGATGCCGTCGATGCTGTGCTTGGCCTTCTTGTCGCCGTCCTCCTCCTTCTTGTCGCAGTCCTCGTCCTCCTCCTTCTTGCCGAATTTGATGCGGAGCACGCGGCTAATCGAACTCACTAAACCTCGGACAGTCAAAGGCAGAAAGGCGAGTATAAGCTGCCTGCGAGGAGCGGGACCGGCCGGGAATGCCGCTCTTCCCGTGGGAATGCACCTGCCGCCGCCGCCGAGCCCCCGACATTCCCAAACTGGGATCCGCTGGCCGTCGGCCCGAGCGGCACCGGGATGTCCCAAAGTCTGGGGATGGGCCATCCCCAGGTCACCACACGCTCTGTCACGGCACAATTCCCAAATTCCCCCCAGTTCCCAAGCCGGGATGGAGCTCCGGGCCTGCTCTGGCCCCACAGAGCGGCCCCAAAATCCGGCGGGACCTCAGGGACGAGCCCCGCCGAGCCCCCGGACCCCAAATACGTGCCTGCTGGCCCAGCTTTGGGGTGCAGCCTCGCTGCCCATGGATCTCGGCATCTCAGGATCTCATGGATCCCTGGATCTAATGGATTTCTCGGGATCTCATGTGTCTCTGAACCTCATGGATCTCCAGATCTCTCGGGATCTCTGGATGTCTGGATCTCAGGATCTCGTGGATCCATAGATCTCATGGATCTCTGAATGTCTTGGGATCTCCTGGATCTCAGGCTCTCCTGGATTCCCGGACCTCTCGGGATCTCTGCCCCCTGGGGACGTTGCTGCACAGCCCCCACGGCGCAAATCCCAGCAGGACCAACGGGGCTCCCCTTTCCCCCTGGATTTGGGGGGCGCCTCTGGGGGTCTCCCCCTACCCCAGCATCCCCCCGGCTTTCCAGGGAGCCGGAAAAAGTTGGGAAAAGGGCTTGGTTTGGGTTCGGTTTTGCAGCAGCCGGGGCACAAATCCCCCCCAGTCCCGGGCTTTGCTCGGGGCGATTTTCCTCCCTCCACACAAGCAGAGCCAGGAGGGTGTTTGGATGCTCTGGAAAACCTTTCCCGCGGGATAACCATTCTCCCGCGGAGCCGGGGGAGTGTGGCCAAGCTGCCTTCTCACCTGAGGGCACCGTGCTGCGGTCGCAGTGGCCGTCCTTGAGCAGCCGGTCCCGGATCTCCCAGCTGAACATCCCGGGGTTCTCCCGCTTGTATTCCTCGATTTTCTTCTCCACGTCGGGAGTCGCGACCTGCTTTTGTGCCCAAGGGGCGCCGGGGTGTCCCCGCGGGGCGGCCAGACGGGGAGGAAGGGAGGGAGAGCAGGGGAAAAGCGCTTTTAATTCAAAAGAAGCAGCGCAGCTCAGCCTGGCCCGGCCGGGCTGCGGGGTTTGGGGTGGAAAATAGGGATTGGGAGCGGGGAAAGGAGGGCAATAAAGCTGGGAAAAGGCCCTGCTCTCCCAAATCCTAAAAGTGGGGTCTCTGAGAGTCGAGAGAGCCGGCAGGGTGGGATTACCCTGAGCTCCGGGGAGGCGGTGCAGGGAACAATTTTTAGGGTGTTTATGGGATTTCGTATTCCCAAAGAATCCCGTATTCCCTGCTCCCCACACCCCGCCGGGATCGCTCCAAAGAGCGCCACTTGTTGCACGTGGAAGCCACAAAAAAGAAACCGCTTTAATCCATCCACCGCCTCCAGCTCGGGCCCCGCTTTCTCCCCATCAGAGGCCAAAAACCGCAACTTTATTAAAACCCTTTTCCCCCTAAAAAAACCCCAACAAAACAAAAGAAAAACAAAAAACAAAAACAAAAACCAAACCAAACAACAACCAAAACCGCTGGGAAAACTGTCGCTGCCCCCCAAAACAAGGCGGAATTTTGGGGCGCGGTGCCCGCAGCGCACTCACCCTGGGCTTGCTGCCGCCGATGGCCCCGGGCCGGATGGATCCGGTCTCCTGGTAGCGGCAGAGGATTTTGGAGACGCAGCCGTGGGAGACGCGCAGCTGCCGGGAGATCACGCAGGGCCGGATGCCGTGGTGCGCCATCTCCACGATCTTGTGGCGGATGTGGTTGGGCAGCGGGCGCCCGTTGATGAAAACCCCTCCGAGCTGGTTCACCCTGCCCTGGCCCAGCGGGGTGGACACTGCGAGGGACACGGGGGGAAAAACCCGACCCAAAAAAACCCGGGGAAAAGTTAAATTAGGGGGGAAAAATCCGGCGTGTCATTCCCCGCATCTCCCGCTTCTCTCCCCGGGTTTGGAGGTTTGAAAGAAGGGGGAAAGTCTCGCCCGTGCCCTGCGCTCCGTGCTTATCCCGGTGTTTGTTTATCCCGGTGTTTGTTTATCCCGGCACCACGAGTGAGGTTTTCCCATGGAAAGTGGGAAAATAAAAATCCCCCCCGAGCCGCGCGCCCATCCCCGAGACACCCCCCGTGTGTCCATCCCTGGAAATTTGTCCGGATTTGGGGTTTCACACCTCGGTTTGAAACCATTCCCGGCGTTTTAAACGCGAAGAGATCCAAACCCGCACAACAGAACGCTCCCTAAACTTCTCCTTTCTCCCCCCAAAAAATCTCGCCTCGATTTACGGAGCTCCGCTTTCAAACAAACTTTTGGAAATCACCTCTGAAACACCCTCGGGGACCTTTTTTTTTGGGTGGTTTTGTGGGTTTTTTTGGTGGCTTTGGGGGGGATTTTACTCCGCGGCCCCTTCGCTGCTGCCTCTCCGGGCGCGGGGGCAGCGGCGGCTCCTTCGCCCCCTCCCCAATTTATCGAACACCCCGCGCTGCAGATCTCGCAGATTAATACGATTTCACAGGCTGGAAATTAAAGCGAAAAGGAGGGGAGGCAGGACGGGAGGGGGCAGAACTCAGCTGGGTAATTTGCGCGAGGCTGGAGGGGGCGAGCGCCAGGCGAGGCGAGGGGGGCGGATTTTTATTTCTTATTATTTTTTTTAGATATATTTTTTTCCCCCTCCCCTCTCTCGCTACAAAGAAAAGTCGATTCCAGAAATTGCCTGGCGATTTAGCGAGAATCATGCACCGCTAATTCCGAGTCACTTTGGCCGGCGCTCCCTGGATGTATCATTATCGACAGATAACACTCGAGTGGCCAATTTTACATTCAAGAGCCGCTAAAAGCGCCGGCCGCTCTCTCCTTTCATTATTCCCAGTCATGTTGTGCAAATATTGTTGTAATCCTTTGATCCTTTCCCTTGCCGTCTGTTTTACTTCATTTGCTACAGAAAAGCACTTCAGCAAATCCCCGCGCCCTGTGTGTTTTGCAGCCTGCGTGGTTTTCCGCGGGTTTGCGATTCGCCACTTGAGCACGGGCGGGATGAAATTTTCTCCGCTTTTAATAAATGCGGCCAGAGGGGTCCCGGATAGAAATTTGCCTTTTTTTTTTCTTTTTTCTTTTTTTTTTGGGAACGTGTGTGCCTGGAAATAATCGCCCCCCGCGTGACAAAGGCACGGCGGAGGGAGGATGGGTGACACTCGGCGAGGTGACAGCTCCCGAGTCCCCGCTTCGCCAGCCCCGGCCAAGGACATCATCCCGGCTTCCCGCTGCTCCCCGGATCAAGGTTTTTATTCCTATTTTCCCCTCCGAAAAGTTAAATCCCATCAGTTTGGTTGTTTCCCCCCTCCTTTGACGCCGAGGTGAAATTGTCGGGACGTTGAAAAACCAACCCTCCAGAAAAAAACCAATCCCCCCAAAAAAAACACCAAAGCGGGAGAAGCTGCCCCAAAAATCCTGCGGGATGCCCGGGAATACTCGAAACACGGGAAAACAGCTAAGCAAATCCCTGGATTTCGCGGGGAGCGCCGGGGGAAGGGGCTGGGTAAGGGGTGAGAAGTTGGGAGAATTTCGGGAAGCCCCCAGGAGCGGAGCTCAGCCGCACCCCTGCCCCAAGGGCCCCCGCGGGTGATTCCAGAGGGATGGAACAGCGTTTTTCCAGACCCAAAGAGCCCCCCCCAGGTTATTCCAGAGGGATGGAGCGGCGTTTTCCCAGACGCTAAGGCCCTCCCCGAATGATTCCAGAGAGAAGGAGCAGCACTTTTCCAGAGCTAAGACTCCCCCGGGTTATTCCAGAGGGATGGAACTGCTTTTTTCCAGCCCCCTCCCCGGCTGATTCCAGAGCGTTTTTCCAGGTTTTCCAGACCTACCTTCCAGCGGGAAGCCGGTGCGGGGGTAGTTCTGCCCCGGCGCCGGGCGCATCATCCGCGGCACCGTCCCGGGCAGCGCTGCCATGGTCGGGGGGCGGCGGCGGCCGGGGGGCTCCGCTGCGAACCGGGGCTGGGGGGGACACCGGGCACAACCGGGGGGCTGCGGGGCCGCCTCCTCCGACCTTCCCAGCCCTTCCAGCGGCTGCAAAACAAGGGAGAAATCTGGGCTCCGAGCGCGGAAAAAAATAACCCCAAAAAAATTATAAAAAAACCCCGAGAACGATTCAGAAAATGAGCGGAAAAATCGAAATGCTGCAAGGCTCGGGATGAAAGGGGTGGGGATAGAGGGGGGATCACCCACCAGAAATTCCCGGGAAAGTTTGGGGGCTGTGTCCCGAGCGGCCGCTCCGCTGGAATGTCACCCGGGAAGAGCAGGCACAGCCAAAGTTGCCTGGGAGCTGGGCTGGGCTTAGGGCTGGTTTAGGGCTGGCTCGGGGCTGGTTTAGGGCTGGCTCGGGGGGCAGAGCGGGGGGAGCCGCGGCCCCCCGGATTCGCTCCGTGCGCTGCGCTTCTTCCTCCTCGCGGCGCGGCTGTGGCAGCGCTGGAGGAGGAGGAGGAGGAGGGGGCTGGAAGTTGCTCCGGCGGGGAAGTTGGGGCGGTGGGAAGGACGGGCGGGCTCTGATAGGCTCCGGCTCCTTTCTTTTATGGGAAGGGGGATCCGCGCCCGGCCCCGGCACCAATGGGAGAGGAGCCCCGCGCTCCTTCCCAGAGGGTTTTTTTGGGATGTTTTTGGTCATTCTCGGGCTCCTCATGGAAAGCTGGGGTGTCCCTCGAGCGGCTGGGAAAGATTTGGGGTGAAACAAAGCAGGGACAAATCAGGAATTGCGGCATAGTGGGTGTTTTTTTTTTTTTTTTTTTTTTTTTTTTTTTTTTTTTTTTTTTTTTAATTTTTTATTTTTTTAGAGTTTTTTTCCCCCCTAAGTGGATTCCAGGAGGGGAAAGGCGGGCGGGGCATGGGCTGAGCCCAGCTAGGGGTGGGGGAATTGCGGCGTGGATTGAAAAATAAAATAAAAATTTAAAAAGCAAATAAAAAAAAAAAGGAGATAAAATAGGATTGCTAAAAGTTATTTAAAAACCCTAAAAATGAATGAAAATTATAAAAAAAGGAGATAAACTAGGATTGCTAAAAGTTATTTAAAAACCCTAAAAATGAATGAAAATTAAAATGGATGGCAATTAAAATGAAGAAAAATTTAAGCAAATAACAATTAAAATAAGTTTAAATAAAAAAATTAAAAATGTTTAAAAGTGTTGTGAGAAATTCAAAAGAAACACAAATTAAATAAGAAATAAATTATAAGAAATAAATTTAATTAATTAATTAATTAATTTAATGCTCCTCGTCCCGCTCCCTCCGGGGGGTTTGGAGCCGCTGTTTCCCCTTTTCCCATCCCTCCCGGGGGGGTGCGAAAGGCTCACCCCGACCCCCCCGCTCTGTAGGGCCACCTTTGGGACCGGCCCAGCGCCCCCCACACCTTCCCTAGCCCAGGTGCCGCCCTCATTAATTAACAACCGCGTTAATTACGGGGCGGGCTCGGGGCCGGCCCGGGCCGTGCGGAGAATTCCCGATTTTGCCCCAAAAGCCGCGGGAGCTCCGGGAATGAGCGCGCAGCGGGACGTGACGCCGGCGCCGGCGCTGCCTTTTGTTCGCAGCTGGAAAAGGGACCCGGCGCCTCCGCCGCCCCCTCCCCA